TTGATTGGAAATAATTTCGATTATTATTTGATTTTTGGATTGTAGGATTTCTAGAACTAGTAGACATTGGTTCCGGTTTATTAGCAGGGATTTGACCGGTTGGTTTAAATACGTCTGCCGGAGGTCCGAAAACTTGTCTATTTGTAAAATATTGTTGAGGTTGTAAATTTTGTCTGGGTTGTATGTTAAATGGTTGAGAAGGAAATTGATTGTATGAATTATTTCTAAAATTCTGATTATTATAACCATTATAATTATTTTGGAAACTATTATTAGGACCTTGGTATGAGTTTGATCTTTGATTATTAAAATTTTGATAATTATTTCTACTTTGGTGACTATTTCGGTGACCATTTCGGGGATTAGATTTACTATTATTATTAATATTGGAATTTTGAAAAAATTCATTTTGTTTTTGACTTAATATGAAATTTTCTTCTTCTAAAACATGAGACATTGCCATTTCCAGTGAATCAGGATTTCTTAATCTTACTAAATCTTGTACACGGCCAGTTAAGCCACGAATAAAAGTTTTTAAAGCTAATTCATCATAATTTTTAATTGTAAACGTTCTTTCTTCCGTAGTTAAATTCATTGAAATTAATTTTGAAGCAATGGCACTTCTGGATTGTTGAATACGTTGTCCAAAATTTATAAAAGATTCATTTCTTAATGGCCTTAAAATAATTAATTCTTGAACTAAACAATCAAGGTTTCTTTGGTCTCCGAAACTAAGTCTTAAAAGATTTTTTAAACTATCCCAAACTCTTACTTCTGGTCTAGAACCTACTAATCTTAATGCATTACCAGATAATTTTCCAATTATTGCTCTTAATAAAAAACTATTTATTGGATCGTTCCTATTTTGAGTATTTTTATATTGGCTAATTAAACAATCACAATGTTCTAAAAATATCTCCAAGATTCCACTGTCTCCATCAAAAATTGGTATTGTGTCTATATGCAGTTTCATTAAAGAGTGATTAACACCACTAACAGGGACAACTGAATCTTGACTACCGTTACCCACTGTGTTTGTTTTTAGACTTAAATTACTAATTGTTTCTATTAATTCGTCAATCTTGCAAGCTTGCACTTAGAATTCATATAACTAGCTACAAGGGGTCCACCGGATCTAGCAAAATTTTGAGTGGTCTATGAAACAAAAGAGTTTAAGAACCTCTAATCTAAATAGACAAGTAAGTAGTGTTCTAGGTCAACTCCTATAACCTGATCTATTAACCGTTGCCATGTATCGGGTGCTGAGTGTAACCCGAAGGGCATCCTTTTAAATTAAAACAGTCCACGATTTGGGACAGTAAAGGCCGTTAAAGGTCGCCACTCCTTAGCCATATGGATCTATCAATAGGCCGACTTTATATCCAAGGTGCTTAGAAATCTAGCATCCCGTAATTTATCTAGAATAGAGCTCACATAGGGGATTGGATAAGTGTCCGAAAGACTAACGGCGTTCAGCTTCTTGTAATTGACACAAAAGCGCCACTTATTGTCTGGCTTTCATAAAATCACTATTGATGGACTCCAAGGGGTCTTAGATGGCTCTATGATATCTTTCTTGGGCATTTAATCTAGTTCTGAATTAACATATTTCTGAAGAGCTGGAGATATTGGGTAATATCTTTGCTTTATCGGATTTGAGCTTGTCTGTATCACATGTTCAACTAAATGCATGCATCCCAATTCCTTTCCCATGTCCTCGAAAGCATCCTGGATCATCTAGACAGTGGTCGCCAACATGTCGATCGCGAGCTACCGGTAGCTCGCGGAGGCAATTCTGGTAGCTTTCACAACGATTTTAATTTAAAAAATACAAACTGCAAAAATCAGAGAAGCTTCCGAAAATTCCACAAAAAAATCAAGCCATCAAGCTAGAATGGGCTAGAACCGACCAGCCGAACCAGCGCGTTAGTGTTCGAGAACGATCAGGATTGCTTTGAACGGGATAAATACGCACGGTGCGGCGACATTTCGCTTAGTTTAAAACTGAACCCGTAACCAACGTCCAGCAGTTGGGTTAATAGAGAACAACAAAAAATAATATGTCAAGCAGTTGTAAGAAGGTAAAGACATACCACTTTCAGTCGGAATGGGAAGAACAATACTTTTTTACAGAAGTTAAAGATAATACTTTTTTACAGAAGTTAAAGATAAAAATGTGTGTTTGTTATGTAATACTTCGGTCTCCGTTGCTAAAAAAGGAAATATTGAGCGACATCATAAAACTGTACATTCTAATTTTGGAAAATCATTCCCACTACATTCTGCCGCCAGAAAGGAGAAACTGAAACATTTAAAAAAGCAGTTAATTGGACAACAATCAATATTTTTAATAACAGTTGACAAACATAAGGCTGCAACTGAAGCGTCCCAGATAATTGCACAAAAAAAGAAACCTTATGAAGACGGGGAAATGATAAAACAGGCGTTTTTAGAAGCTGCTGATTCGTTTTTTTGCCAACTTTAGAAATAAAGACGAGATAGTTTCAGCTATAAAATCTATGCAACTTTCTGCTAATATAGTGATGAGACGTATAGAAGTAATGAGCAATGATATTTTTTTACAGTTAAGAACTGACTTAGATAACTGTGTTTATTTTTCACTTCAACTGGATGAATCAACAGATGTCGTTGACACTGCCCAGATGGCCGTGTTTGTCAGGATGGTTTTTTGTGATTTTACGATTAAAGAAGATCTTTTGAAGTTTATTCCACTGAAAGGACACACTACTGGACAGGAGTTATTTTCTCATTAAAAAATATTATTTCTTCCGAAAAAATTCCAATATCGAAAGTGGTAGGCTTGACAACCTATGGTGGGTTGTGATAAGGGTCTGGTGGCGTTATGTCGTAAAGATGAAACTTTTCCGCAATTTCTCTGTTACCACTGCATTATCCATCAGCAAGCATTATGTGGACATTTCCTGAAACTAAACAACGTTATGAAACTGGTGGTAAGAATTGTGAACAAGATTAGAGCTCAAGCGTTACAAAGAAGATTATTCAAAACCTTGGCCGATGAAGTTGACTGTCAATACGGGGACCTACTCCTTCACTCTGAAGTCCGATGGTTAAGTAGAGGACGGATGCTGAAACGTTTTAATGATGTCCCATCTGGCATAGTTCAATTTTTCAAACAACGCGATGAACCGACTCTGGAACTAGAAAATTTAATCTGGCTTAGAGATTTTGGTTTTCTCGTGGACATTACAGAGAAATTAAACTTACTTAATTTGCAGCTTCAGGGGAGAGACAAAGAACTAGCGGAAATGATTTCTGATATAAAAGCATTTATCAAAAACCTGGAGTTTTGGGAACAAAACCTAATTAACAGCAATGCCAAGCATTTTCCTATTCTTTCAGAAAAAATATCTCAAAATCCATTAGAACCCTATGACAGCAAATATGTAGAAATAGTTTCTACCCTGAAGAAAAACTTCAAAAATCGTATTAAGAATTTCAACGAAATGGCTTTAGTAGCACAGTTTGTTGTTTCACCCTTTATGGAAATGGATATCCAACAGTTTGCAACTTGTGTTATGCAGAACTTTGGCGAATATATCGCTGCAACAGAAATGGAAGTAATTGAGTTTCAAAATGATTTAGCCTTAAAATTGTTAGTATCAAGTACCAAATGTATCTGGCCTATTGTAAGTAAAGAGTAAAGACAAATATTCAGTTCTATGCTGTGTTGCCTTGAAAGTGAAAGCATTATTCAGTTCAACCTATTTGTGTGAATCTTCTTTTTCCAATATGAAGTTTATTAAGAACAAATATCGCAATCGACTTACAGATGAACATTTGGATAATTGTATTCGAATGGCTGTATCAAATTATACTGCAAACATTAAAAAAATTATCGATGAGTCTGAGTATCAGCCCTCTCATTGAACGTGCTTCTTTATTTTTCAATGTTTATGTTCATGATAGTGCGTTACTTTTTTGTTGTTATTATTAACTATTTTTAAATCTTACGTGACATGCCGTTGTGGGTGGATAAAAGTTTGTGTTTATTTTTCAAACACCTTCGCTTGGTAGGTAGGAATGTAGCTATGAACAAGTACGTACTAGTAATATTAGTTATTTTGTTATTAGTTTATTATTAGTACCTATGTATTATGTATTACCAGTTAAATAGTAAAATAAATACATATAATAATAAATTAACTGTGGATTATTTCATTTACGTTGCGTTACGTGGCTTCCGTGTGGGTAGCTCGCTGTTTATTCCAAAATTAATAAAGTAGCTCAACACATTGAGAGGTTGGCGACCACTGATCTAGAATTTCCTTTTGTTTCTTCGTGGGAGATTCAAGATTTCGTATCCCACAGGTCTCGATGTTATCGACGCAACTGTCTTCCTGGAAGTATATTTTTCCGTTAAAAATATCCGGAATAATCTCCTTTTTTGCCCAAAAATTAATCCCTAATATAAGTGTATGGGGTAGATAAGGAACAATTCAAATATTTATAAGAGATAGACGGTTTTCCAATTCAATTAGAAGTAAACACGGTCTTATACTTTCAACTGAATGACCACTTGCTACAGTACAGTTAACAGGCTTACTAATATTCATAGTGCACATCTTTCCTAACACATTCCATCCTGGACCACCCAAGATAGTACGGGAAGCCTTACTATCCAGCAGTCCTAAAAACTCTTACCCCAATATCTTAACTTTTAAGTATACTCCTGTCAAATTTATTTAGATATACATTACAGAAGTAATTCTTAATTATTGTAATGAAAATACATATTTAAAAAATAATAATAAATGAAAATTGTAAATAAATTTTATATCAATATCAAAACAATAGGTTAACAAAATTAGTTGCATAATGAGACACCATTCAATTTATTATTACTGGTTTGTTTTCGGGATTTTGATTTTCTCTTAGAAAGAAAATCAGACAATGATTGATTATATCAAAAAGTTTTTTCAAACATTCTTTTGCTGTAGTTTTGTTTTGTTTTGTTTTAGAAATACATTCTTGGAATATCTTTCTACTGATTACGAGTTTGGGTCCGATAATGAGTGGCATAATGTTTATATTCCTTCCGGAAAGTCCCAAATTTTTAATGGCGATTGGAGAAAATGAAAAGGCGATGATGGTTTTGAAAAAAGTTTACAAATACAATACAGGAGATTCTTCTGACATGTATCCGGTAAGTTTACACCATTATTAAATAGGTACATTGTAAAATAATATTTTTTGTAAAAGATTTAGGATGAGCCGAAAACTTGAAAGTTGCGATTGATTATAAAAACTGCTTGTAATTGTTTTCACAATTTCAAAATTATATTTTCAGCCCTTTAATTTACTAATGCAATTACCTTTCAAATGAAGAGTCACAGTTAACAATATGTAAAAGGCACTAAAATCAAAAGTAACTCAATAGACAGTCATATTGATGAATTTTTCATAAAGTTACCTTTTTTAATGGTGTGTCATACATATTTAAATTATTTTAAATTGACGAGGCAGAGAAAAATGACAGGTACGATATTTGAGAAAATAATACGATAGAAAGGTTGGATTAAAAATCTACTTCTTTTAAGTTATTTTTTTATTAAGAGGTATTGCCAATAACAATTTTTTAAATTAAAACCTTGTTGTTCATTCTTAAATTTTAATTTTAAGACATATCATTTATGAATTTAAACCTCAGTAGGTCCAATGTACTCAGAGGCTTATCGTTCCAAACTTTAAATTTCATTTAATACACCTTTTCTTGATCATTATTAATATATTCATACGTACAAGAGAAAGTGATTGGACAAGTTATAAAATTTTTTATTTTAAAGTAAGGTTAGAATTTATTTGGTACGATTTAATCATCTAAAAATGAAGTCTTTATTTTCTGGATCCCACACAGCATACGTCAATCCATTGAATGTCCATCGAAAGTCCATTGATAGACAAATCGGCTGTCCAAAGTACGTCCGGCATTTTGCTGAAGAATGTCCATTGAACTATACAGATGTCGCACTTTTGGACGTCCATTTGGACTCTATGAAAGGCCCATATATGGACTATATCACACAGGATATTTCTAAACTTGCCTCTAGCGTCATGAATTGTGAAAGACAAGAATATTTAATATTATTTTTTATCATTATGCATGTTTTGAGTACTTCATCACTAGTGTGATAAATTACCCTTGCATCCTTACATGCAAGTCCTCCTACCTGATTCCCGTAGGCTCACGGTTCAGTACGATCCCTAATTGATCTTTAGTGAATGTCCTGGAGATCACAGCCGAGGCTCCCTTGGCGTGATGGTCATTCACTTGGACAATGTCGATGCCCGCCATTTTACTCTCCCTCATCGGTGAGGGTATTTTCCATACCCCTCTCTTCTGCTTACTCATCAAGTTCTACATTCTTAGATGAGTCTACACGGAGATTTGAGAGGTTAAGCCATTCCGCTGACTGTGTAATTTCACAATGGATTAAGACCATTCCTGGCCGGAAGTGGATGCCCTCCGAATTGGAACTTATGCTCCCATCCAGCTAACATCTCTTCTACTATGGCTTCTTCCACTAAGGTTTATTTGCTGAGGATGGTCTCAGGGAACCCCTTAGGTAGGATCGCGACCCGCTCCGTCTTGACGACAGTTGCATAACTGCCAGAAGCGGAGGTATCGGTCACTTTCTTTTTCTTTTCCTTTCTTTGCGGTGGTGTGATGTTATTCCCGTTCCGCTTTCTTTACAGATTCTTAGGATTGGTTCTACTTCCCTCTTCCTAGGATTTGTGCACCATAGCTTTTTCACTTCCTCCGGTGTCATACCCTAATAAGATAGCGAAGATACCATCGAACCCCTGACCCACTAAGTCTATGCTTCAGTAGGTCGTTATTTTCACCAGGTTGTCCTAGTGGAGATAGGGAAGGTATCTTCCGTTTGGATTCTTTTTTGAGGGGAGCTTCCCTCGCCAATGAGTGGTAAGAGGGGAATAGAAAAGATAAAGCGATAGAGCTCCTCTTCTTTTCTCCCTTCACCTCTTTCTTTTGTTCTCCCACTTCTCTCTTGTGACGTTGTCTCACTTAAGAGGTTAAGGGAGGTTGATCGCTTTGGGTGGCAGCCTTCCTTTGATCAGATTTGGTGGCGGTGTAGTTCCGCCGGTTTTTATTTCCTTTTCGATTTCTTGCCCATGTAAATCCCACTAACAGCTAGGGACAAAAAAGTCGACCGACGCAGAGCCCCGTATGCGCCAGCAAAACTGGATACAAGAGGGTTTTGCCAGGTGCCCCTAGAGGAACGTTCGAAACCGCTTTCCCAGCGGCCGTTCAGCCTCCAGCACGTTGCCTTACACCTTGGCTTGGGTTATTAATGGAGTGTCATTTAGTTAGTTAATATAGCTGTTCATAGAGCAGCAATAATAACGTATCCAGCGATGCCACGAGGAAGCAGACACTCGATGAGTGTATTTCTCCATTCGCATGCAGAAAGAGTTACCTACAAGTGGATAAGCAAACAAACAAGCAATTTAAGCTACAAAGCAATGGCTAAACTACAACAAACAAACGATTTGCTTCTTAATTTTTGTAATTTTATATAATTTAATGTTAGTTATACTTATTTTATTACCAGATAACAAACTATATCCCAATGAAGTATTCTATACAAAATTGAAGATTATTCTTAACTTCTTTCTTCTTTTTTTCTTCGAATTTGGCCTAAATGGCCTTTTACATTATTTATTATTAGTTTGTCAGTTTTATAGTGTCCATCATGGACATTTTTTGAACACACATTGGACTTCTAAATGGAATAACAGAAAATATTAAGTTCATGGAATTTCAGGACATTATCTGGACAAAACATGGACGTCCAATGGACACAAAAATGTCAATTTGCTCTAGATGTTTCTTCATTATTATCAACTTTGTTTTTATTTTCATTGTCTTTTATCATCTTTTTTTCTATGTTCGTAAAATTATTTTTTCCTACTTTATTGTTAAGCGTTAGAGTATCACATACAATTGATGGTGCCTTTTAATTTTGTTTAAACAATCAGTGATATAAATATCAGTGATTAAAATAATTCTTTGGGACCCAGTTCATTTCTTTCCATTGAATTTATAGCGACTATCTTCAATTTTAACAGTACAAACAGTTCCTGGTAAAAAGCTTGTCACAATTAAATAATTATTGCAATATTTTAACATGTCTAATCATTTTAGGTACTACAGTTAATTCAAGAAATACAAGAAAACAATAATGACAAAGTAGAATCAAAACCAAATCCAATGACAGCATTTAAAAACGGAATAAATAAATTACGCCCTCTTTTTAAGTCTCCATTTTTATTAAAGTTTATTTTATTGACAACAATAGAAATTACGTGTATGTCTAGGTAAGTAAACAAAATATTTACAAATCAGGTATTAAAAATACAATTTTTTAGCTTAAATATGTTACGATTATGGATGCCACAATTATTTCAAGCTATGGAAGATTATAAAATTAACCATAATGGTTCTACTGCAAACTTATGTACAATGTTAGAGGTTCTCAAGCCCGTGTCTTCTGAAACCAGTTGCACAACTGTGAGTATTCATAAAAATTTGCGTCTTTAAATTTTTAATTAATAAATAAATTAATTAATAAAAAAAATTATGTATTACACACAATAGAAAACAAACCATTTTCTTTGGTTTTAAAATAACGATTTGAACATCTTGTTCTGTTAACAAAAAAGCTGGCTTCAACCTATCTATAATAATTATTCGTTACCATTAATTAGAATTTTAAAAACTTTGTCATCTCCACTATAGTCTATTTTTATGCACGAGAGAGTATTAAAATAATAAAGCGTTCGTAATCCATAGGCGTACCACTTCTTTTAGTAAACAGTTAAAATATTTTTTGAAGTTATTCCTTGAGTATACACTTATATTTTCACCTAATTAACCTGCTTATAACTTCTAAACAGCTGAAGGTAAAAAAAGTGCAATATTTTCTAAAATGTTTTAATTTTCCACAAGGTATATTAAGAACATTGTGTCAAACGGGTTATATAGGTATAAGGGTTTAAACTTTGACTTTTAAACAACGTTACGTTCATAAATATTAATTTTAATATAAAAACTACTTCTTACCTACAAATCCAAATCAGAAGATGAACTGTCGCAACCAATATTTACAATGAGTGGCTCGATCATTTCATCAGTAATATTGTCCAACTTCCACATTTTCTCTTCTTCTTTAATCGTATGATTTACTGCCTTTTCCCAGTTTTCAGGCTTCACATTATTTACAGCCTCCAAAAACAACTGTTTAACATCACTCATTTTAAAAGAATTATTTTTTCTTGAAACTTCTACCTTTATCTGTGCACATATCAGTTCTCAATCGGGTTTACTTCGCAATGATATGGTGGTGATCTAACCACCGTCATCCCACGATTTTTTGCAATTTCATCAATTTCATATTTTTTTAATTTCTCTTTATGAAGGGAACACAAATGATACAGTTCTTTTCTCACAGAACCGGGATGGAACTTAATATTCTTTGAATTTAGCCAGTTCTGTAAATTTTTTTTAACCACTTGGTTGTGGGCATTTTTTTCTATACGTCTCGAATGATAACTTGCATTATCCATTACTATTAGACAGTTCTGAGGAAGAAGATCTATAATTTGTTCGAACCACTCTTTAAAGACATCAGCATTCATGTCCTCATGGTAGTCACCGGTACGAGTAGATTCAAAAGTCAATAAACCACCTTTAACAAAACCGTTTGAACTACCGATGTGTACTTTTATTAGTCTGCGCCCCTTTCCTGATGGTGGATTTAAACCAGTAGATAAATTATTTAAAAAAGCCTGTCTTCGACTTGTAACAGTTTCATCTTGCCAAAATTTATTTGGTTTATGTCCCTCGTTGATCCATGTTTCATCTAAATAAAATATATTTCTTCTTTGGTTTCTCATTTCTTTTATAGTCCTTAGGTAATTTCTTTTCCATACTACAATATCGCTTCTTTCTAATAAAATAGACTTTCTGGAATGCTTTTTCCATAGAAAACCTATTTCTTTTAAAAGTTTCCATAGTGTGGTTTGACTCATTTCAGGGTAATCCTTATCATCTCGAACCGTGGCAAGAACTTTGTCTACTGTCGGAAATTCTTTTCTAAAGAAGAACGCATGCACTTTCCTTCAAAGTCTTTCTTTCAAAAGATTTTCTAATTGAAATTTTGGTTTTCCTGGAGCTTTACGTGCTGTTTGAAACTCGCCACATTTCTCTTCTTTAACAACTCTGTAAATCGTACATTTCCCAACACCAAGCGTACTGCTAACTAATTTCACTGTGTCATCAACACTTTTACATAAATGTTTGTCTGTAAATGATTTAAAACAATTAAATATTAATGATTTTTCATTAACTGTTAAAGGACCGATTTTTTGTCGTTTACGCGGCCCTTCCAAATTTTCCATGATCACACTAGAATTCACACTGTACCTTGCAAGTTGCAACTAAACGACATTTAGAAAACTATCAAGAAGACACAACTTGGACCTCCTTACTAAATGGAAAACCTATGATCGCATTTTCGGTGAAATTTGTTGGGAAGGTATTTATCTACTTATAATTCGATTACTGTAAGAAATTTTTGGAATTAAAATAAAACAAAATTGGCAAATAGGTACTTATTGAAAATAATCTTAAGATACGGCTATGTAATCTTTAAAACACAGGGCTTTTGGCCTGTCCAAACCTTTTTCTATTGTTCTGTACAGCTTATGTTTATAAAGGACCAATAAAAGACCCAAAACTTGTAACAGCTCAGGTACATTTATTACAATTTTAGGAAATATTTAGATTATTCTGTAAAAATATTTAAAATGACCGTACTAAGTTTCGCATTAGAAATGCTGTTTTATTACTCTCTCATACATAAAAATAGACTATAATAACTTTCTAATGCCCTTCTAAACTTAGGGGTTAATGAAGGTGTAATATATTGGACTTTAAACAGATTTCTAGCGCAATTAACAATTAACAAATTGGTCTTTTCACCTTTACCATTCTGTTATTGAGTATAGGGTACATTTACTTTATGAAACATACCCCTTTAAATTGGTAATTTATGAATTCGGTACCATTGTCTGTTCTAAAGACTTTAATTTTATTACCAGTTTGATCCTCAATAAGATTTTAAAACTCAAGAATTTTGAAAACACATCTGTTCTATGTCTTATAAAGTATATGAAACTATATGAATAAGATAAAATAGTTAACACCTCCAAATGAATGAACTGACATTTTCCCACACACATCTGAATAGATTCTCCAGGTTTAAATAGTTAAGGGTAAATAGTTTCGTTGAATGCCTTTCGTTTGTGTTTACCAAGCTGATAGGGATCACAGAATAACTTTGTGAAAGAGGTAGCAACTTTTCATTTTTATCTTTTTCTTATCTTCAAAAAACAAAATAAGTTTTGCTTGTGTTTTGAGTAATAAATAAAAGAAATCTAATTTCATTCAGTTTTGTTGTATTTTACTAAATTATTTACTTTTAGAATGTAGCTGAACCAGGAGTTTACATTAACTCAATAATAGTAGCAGCATTTGGAATTGCACTTTACGTATTAACAGGGACTATAATAAATTTTCTTGGAAAGAAGAAAGTTTTAAGTGAGTATTATACGTTTTATAATAATATGTTCTTGTTTATCACATAATTAAGGGAATTTATTTAAAAAAAGTTTAAAAATTTTTAAATAACACAAAATAATTATACAAAAAGTTTATTTGAAAATTAATGATAGTAAAATTATACAATATGGAACAGCCAAATGGAATAAATTTGGTAATACATAAATTAGGGCGCATTCGGAAAAACGCTTGGACACATCGATTGGTATTTTTATTTGCGCATTTTTTTAAATAAAAACTTTTTTATATAATTTTTGGATTCTTTAGAAAATTCTGAACATATTTTAGGTACTATGTCCCATACCGAACTGTTTCGGAAATGTTAAATGTTTTCCGATTTATTAAAAAATTTACATTATTAAAATAAAATTGATTGATTACGGAAATTCCTTACAACACATGACACATTCTGTAAAAAAAGTTTTTGTCAAAAAAAATGCTCAACTAAAAATAGCAATCAAGACGTGTCCGAGCGTTTTTCGGAACACACCCCCATTTATTTATTTCCGAATTTATTCCATTTGGTTGTTCTATACTGTATGTAATGATATACTATTAATAAAAACAAATATTGTTAATATACAGTGCTTCTCAAAAGTCCCCTCTTTTCTTTTGAAAATTTGGAGGGTGGAAATGAACTATTGTAAGCTTCTCTACTAGTGATAACATGTGACGTAATATGTGACGTCACTATCGGTGACGTCACCAGGCAACTGAAACCAATATTATTAAAAAAAACATCGTAAATCCAAAAAAAATAGTATGACTGAATAGGTATTCTAAATACCTTTCAAACGAGATGTCACTTACCATAAGGTCCCATTTAATATTTTTGGTTTCAGTTGCCTGGTGACGTTACCGATGCTTATTACGTCACCTATTACCACTAGTAGACAAGCATACAATAGTTCATTTTTACCCTCTAAATTTCATCAGTCTAAATACCACCGTTCAAAAGAAAAGAAGGGGGAGGAGACTTTTGAGAAGCACTGTATGAAAGTATCAGTCATAAATGAATCAGTTTTTTTTTTAAACAAAACACATTTTTTACATATTTTGTACATATTTCTGTTCGCTTAAATCTGGTCCATTCGTTCACTTTCTTATATCGATAAAATCAACTGATTATAAATTTTGATTTAATTTTCTACGTGTCCCTTTTGTATTCCATATTTTGTTTCCTCGCTTCAGTGAGTCAAATGCTTCTGACTTCCAGAAACTGCTGCAAAAACAAACCAGCTTTTAAATTCCATGATTTGTACTGGAATATTTTTATTTCACCTGTGTATTATATAGGATTCTTGTGTACTACTAAAATTTTATTTTTATTTTCAGTTACTTACCTAGGATTGGGATCGGCTTCTTGCATTTCCTTGTTCTTTTCCAAAGGCACCGTTATAACAACGTTACTTGCAGCTATTTTTATTGCCTCTGGTAATGTGTGTTGTTATGTTTGTGTGGCAGTAATCGTTGACGTCTTTCCAACATCTTTAAGGTAAATCAAATAGGTACAGTGTGGCTAATTTTTTTTATCAATGCTTCATTAATGTGATATGTAACTATAAAACAAATACTTTTTAAAATGAATCATTTGATATTTAGGTGAAAAGTAGTGAAAAGTATTTTTTGAATTATTTACTGAAGTATTTTATGATGCACGGGTACAGAAGCACTGCCACTAAATATCTTATTTAAATCCAACAGGTGATTTGGCTATTATAAGTATCTAATAACAAAAATAATCAACAATGACCATTAATAAGCACAAACCATCAATAAGCACGAACAACAACCAACAACAACCACCAACAACTACCAACAACTACCAACAACTACCAACAACTACCAACAACTACCAACAACTACCAACAACTACCAACAACTACCAACAACCACCAACAATCACCAACAACCACCAACAATCACTAACGACCACCAACAATCTTTAATAACCATTAACAACTACCAACAACAACATTAGCACAGCTTATACAATGCAGCTAAAACACTCTCTTGGCGGCAACGGTTTGCGTCGATTTCGTCGCGCATCGCTTAAGCTCCGCCTTCGAAGGGAAAAGACGGTTTTGGTGTTCAGAAGCGTACTTAGGTGAGGTGTTGAGTCGTGCGTATAATTTCGTTGATTGTATAATTTCGTGGAGCCTATAATTTCGTTGATTGTATAATTTCGTGGAGCCTATAATTTCGTTGATTTTGTTTGAGTTAAAGGTACTGTTATTATTTTGGTGACTCTTTAGCTATGAGTAGAATGAGTGAAAAAAAAAGACATCATTCTGTTTGTGCAGTCAAAAGCTGTTTTAATAAGGGTTATACCTGCAAGAAAACATTATTTAGTTTTCCCAAGGACCCAAACCGATAAGTACCACATTATAAGAAATTTTCTTTCTTAAAAATATAATTTATACAGGGTATCCCATTAGTGCGTTATTGTTCATTATTTTGTTGTAGACACGCAAGAAAGTTTTAAATAAAAGTTATATGGATTTGAAAAATACCTACATATTTTAAAAATATATTTGGATATACAGGGTGTCACGCTTTTGCCTGGCAAATTAAAATGTATGTTTTTTAAATGGAACACCTTGTATTTTATTTTATGATAAAATTATTAACACCCTAAATTATTGAAAGACGAATTGATACAGAAAAATTTTATCAGGTATGTGTGTGGTTACCTTTTAATAAAAGCCTTGCGGATCCACTCCTCTGCGATACCTGTCTTAAATATAACAAAGATCACGTTGAATTAGATGATTTTTCTTTTTATTGCTTTTTAAAGGCATATGATAACGCCAATCCAGATACATTTGGAAATCTGCAACTGTCAAATGATGAATTTGTAAAACTAATATTCAATATTGAAAAGATATTTCAAAATAATTTTGAAGAATTGGCTACAAAAAATAACATTTGTACCACACTTTTAGAATTAATTAACCCAATACCCTTTAGTCATCCATGCTAACGTTTTCCAAAAGAATAACTTATTTTATTGTATGTTTAATCTCAATAACTAAAAAATATACTGACAATTAGTTTGACAGAATTGTCATTTATTTAAAATTTTAAAAATAATAGCAGTCGGTTGATCAAAATATGAACGGTGATTGGCGAATTTATTTTTTTTGCAGTGTTCTCACTACCTAGAATGGATATGAAATATATTCGTTCAATTGAAGGCAATAGCATACTTTTTCGTTTTGTAATCTGTGCATGGATATTAGCCAATCTATGCACATACTACAAAACGAAAAAGTATGTTATTGCGTTCAACTACGAATATATTTCATATCCATTTTAGGTAGTGAGAACACTTTAACAAAATTAAATCTACAAATCACAGTTCATATTTTGGTCACCCAACTCCTATTATTTAAATTTTTTTAAATAAGTGACAATTCTGTTAAACTAATTGTCAATATATATTTTAGTTATTGATATTAAATATACATTAAAATTTTTGTGTAGACTCGATAAATAATAGCATTTTTGTTTTTATTGTGTCCACATTTAAAAAAAAATAAATTTTAATCAAACTACATGATACTAATTTAATTACGAGTATTAAAACTAAAGTCCTGAAAGTTTCATTGAAGATGAGGACAGAGCATCTGCCTTCCACGCGAAAAGCCCGGGATCGAATCTAGGCCGAGGACTAATTAATTTTTCATGTTAATTTTATTTTATAAATTAGTCAACTTCGTAAATTATTTTAAAATTAGTTATTTTGTCTAAATAACCTAAAATAATTTTTTAAATTTGTAGATTTTCGTTAGTGGGTCGTAGAAAAAATATACTGACCATATCGAGTGGATTGTTCATATCACAAACAGACGATTGAGTACTCCGCATACGACGTCGTGCTCAAACTTCGTCTTTGTGTGATATTGCTATCATATCCACCCTTGTTGAACAAACTATAATTTATTTGTTTTCTTGGTTTAAACCAAAACTTAAGTTATATATCAGAAATAAGAACTAAATTAATTTACTTTTCAAGTTTTCTTATAAAAATCGATATTACTTTCTCCAAGTACAAATTTAGTACCTACCTAAAATAAGTACTAATTATGTAATATCGTGTAATATTGTAATTCAAATTTCACATTACTATAAAGTTTCAAAATTCCCTACTTCGGTATGGTCAGATAAAAATTGAATATATTATATTAATAAAAACTGTCAAAGTATTACTTCTACAAATCTGTATTTCAATTAATAAGAATACATCTAAATATAACCAATATTGTTAAAATAAAAGCACAAATTCTTTATAATTCCAAAATACCATAGAGTTCCCAGACCTCAGTCGAAGCATTCGTTTATCTAGGTATAAACCCTTTGCGCGAAGAGTAACACTTGCCAGAGACACGGGGTACCACTTGATTTGCATCCACGAGCGTGACACAATTCTTTAACAATTGAAGCCCTTGCTTGGTGTAAAAAGGATCCAAGCCACAATTTGTCGTAAAGTGACTGTTTTAGCTCAAAACATTTGTTAACGAGGATTTTACTAGCCACATACAAATTATTTTACCTCTAATCCGAAAGATGTGCTATTTTTCGTAATATTTATATTTAAATAATGTTCCTAATTATATTTGACAGATTTAAAACAAATTAAAAATTTAATTTCCCAAAACTTACTTAATATGGCATGTAACCAACCTTATTACGCCAAGGTTTTCAATTTTTTCAATAATAAAAAAATTGTTTAATCCGGGCCCGACTTTTCCCTCGAATCTAACAGAGATAGCACCATTCCGTCTTGCTTGGTTCTCGACCGCCAGATCAAAGACGCCGACACGGAGTTGTGGAGCTGTATTGTATATTAGTTTCTCAAAAGGCTATTGATTGACCTAAGTCTCCTATCCAGTAAGGATATTAATTCCAGCAACGACGTCGCAAGAACTAACCAATTTTTTATTAAACCTTTGACACCCGTTGCCTGGAAATAAATTAAGTTGGGACACACGTTTATTTGAACTTATTTTCATAAAATATGACAATGAATTACCACCTGAAATTTATTAAATCATTTAAGATACACTCCATATATCACCACACTTTCATATATGAATTTTTCTATTGAATAATTGTTTATTAAATGTGAACCATTAAGTAATTTTCTAATTTTGTTTCAGAGCATTTACGTTATCTTTAGTAATGGCGACTGCAAGAATAGGAATTCTGATTGGAAATATTCTGTTTCCTATGCTGTTGGAAATGGGTTGTGCACCACCGTTTTTTGTTGTTGGTTTCATTATGGCAGGTAAATAAAAATTTTAAATTGAAACTCTACCAACAGAAATGTGATTCATTTGCGTCCACATTTTCATGTTTTCAGACAATAGTAATTTGTACATCAAGATAGGAAAGTTGATCTTTTTCAACTAATCAATAATGAGGATGATCATTTATTTTCTAAAATTGTTAATTTAATTTTTTTATTATTCTACAATTTATTTTCTAGTTGGCTGTTTTCTCTGCTTTCTACTACCCAATACGGAAAATAAGGCTCTAAAGTGACATATTTGATTGGAATTTTAACAAAAAAGCTGTAAATATCTTAATTTCTATGTAATTTTAAATGTAAGTTGTATTGTTGTCTATCTATAGAAAATTGTATTGTAATTGTAAATATTCATATTTTTTTATAGGAAAATTATATTTACATTTTTGATTGAATTTATAAAATGACCTTTAGAATTTAATAAATATTATGAGAACAAAAAGTTTGTTTTTTTTTTTATTTATATATTAAAATTAAATAAATAGCAATTTTCGCTTAGATCTGTATCTATAACGTGTGGAGGGTGATTACCCCAACGGCTCTTAGGTCACATTAGGCCCATTGTATCAGTAGATCTGCCTGGGGTGTATACATGTTGGTTTGGGGTGTAGTGGTGTTGTAATCACCGCATCATAGCCTTTCCAATGTCTTCATGGAAAACGATGTGAGACTAATTGGTTGGTATGTTTTTGGGACAGTGTAATCCATCCTTCCAGGTTTTGGTATAAATACCACTTTTACCTCTCTCCATTTTTGGGGATATACCTCAGAGCCAACGAGGATCTAAATATACCCACCAGGTGCGGTGTAAGTTCTTCCAGACCACACTGAAGTAGGGCTGGATAGATACCGTCAGGTCCTGGCGATTTATAAACGAGTATTTTTAATGTTTTAAATATTTTTTTCTTGCAAGAGGGCGCCAAAAGAGCTATGCATAATTGCATAGGCCTGACTATAGCTTAGAATAATTTAAGCACTAATGTTGAGCGTTCAGGCCAATAAAACATTCACAACCTAATAGAAGAATAATATAATTAAACAATATTGTGTGTTGCATCAAGTTTCAAATAAGTTGTTACTCCTTTCTTGTCAGTAATACCACCTCAGTTATAACTAGGGCAGTGGTCGCCAACCTCTCAATGTGTCGGCTGTCCAAAGTACGTCCGGCATTTTGCTGAAGAATGTCCATTGAACTATACAGATGTCGCGCTTTTGGACGTCCATTTGGACTCCATGAAAGGCCCATATATGGACTCTTTTTGTATCACTTTTGGACTATTTATAGACATCTGATGGACATCATCATCTACATCAGTGGTCGCCAACCTCTCAATGTGTTGAGCTACTTTGTTAATTTTGGAATAAACAGCGAGCTACCCACACGGAAGCCACGTAACGCAACGTAAATGAAATAATCCACAGTTAATTTATCATTATATGTATTTATTTTACTATTTAACTGGTAATACATAATACATAGGTACTAATAATAAACTAATAACAAAATAACTAATATTACTAGTACGTACTTGTTCATAGCTACATTCCTACCTACCAAACGAAGGTGTCTGAAAAATAAACACAAACTTTTATCCAGCCACAACTGCATGTCACGTAAGATTTAAAAATAGTTAATAATAACAACAAAAAAGTAACGCACTATCATGAACATAAACATTGAAAAATAAAAAAGCACGTTCAATGAGAAGGCTGACACTCAGACTCATCGATAATTTTTTTAATGTTTGCAGTATAATTTGATACAGCCATTCGAATACATTTATCCAAATGTTTATCTGTAAGTCGATTGCGATATTTGTTCTTAATAAACTTCATATTGGAAAAAGAAGATTCACACAAATAGGTTGAACTGAATAATGCTTTCACTTTTAAGGCAACACGGCATAGAACTGAATATTTGTCTTTACTTACAATAGGCCAGATACATTTGGTACTTGAGAATAACGATTTTAAGGCTAAATCATTTTGAAACTCAATACTTCCATTTCTGTTGCAGCGATGTCTTCGCCAAAGTTCTGCATAACACAAGTTGCAAACTGTTTAATATCAATTTCCATAAAGGGTGAAACAACAAACTGCGCTACTAAAGCCATTTCGTTGAAATCCTTAAAACGATTTTTGAAGTTATTCTTCAGGGTAGAAACTATTTCTACATGATATTTGCTGTCATAGGATTCTAATGGATTTTGAGATATTTTTTCTGAAAGAATAGGAAAATGCTTGGTATCGCTCTTAATTAGGTTTTGTTCTCAAAACTCAAGCGTTTTGATAAATGCTTTTATATCATAAATCATTTCCGCTAGTTCTTTGTCTCTCCCCTGTAGCTGCAAATTAGGTTCGTTTAATTTCTCTGTAATGTCCACGAGAAAACCAAAATCTCTAAGCCAGATTGAATTTTCTGGTTCCGGAGTCGGTTCATCGCGTTGTTTGAAAAATTGAATTATGCCAGATAGGACATCATTAAAACGTTTCAGCATCCGTCCTCTACTTAACCATAGGACTTTAGAGTGAAGGAGTAGGTCCCCGTATTGACAGTCAACTTCATCGGCCAAGGTTTTGAATAATCTTCTTTGTAACGCCTGAGCTCTAATCTTGTTCACAATTTTTAGTACCAGTTTCATAACGTTGTATAGTTTCAGGAAATTTCCACATAATGCTTGCTGATGGATAATGCAGTGGTAACAGAGAAATTGCGGAAAAGTTTTATCTTTACGACATAACGCCACCAGACCCTTATCACAACCCACCATAGCTGGAGCGCCATCGGTTGTCAAGTCTACCATTTTCGATATTGGAATTTTCTCGGAAGAAATAATATTTTTTAAATGAGAAAACAACTCTTGTCCAGTAGTGTGTTCTTTCAGTGGAATAAACTTCAAAAGATCTTCTTTAATCGTAAAATCACTAAAAACCATTCTGACGAACACAGCCATCTGGGCAGTGTCAACGACATCTGTTGATTCATCCAGTTGAAGTGAAAAATAAACACAGTTATCTTTATCTAAGTCAGTTCTTAACTGTAAAAAAATATCATTGCTCATTACTTCTACACGTCTCATCACTGTATTAGCAAAAAGTTGCATAGATTTTATAGCTGAAACTATCTCGTCTTTATTTGTAAAGTTGGCAAATAACGAATCAGCAGCTTCTAAAAACGCCTGTTTTATCATTTCCCCGTCTTCATAAGGTTTCTTTTTTGTGCAATTATCTGGGAAACACGGTACGATGCTTCAGTTGCAGCCTTATTTTTGTCGACTGTTCTTAAAAATATTGATTGTTGTCCAATTAACTGCTTTTTTAAGTGTTTTAGTTTCTCCTTTCTGGCGGCAGAATGTAGTGGGAATGATTTTTCAAAATTAGAATGTACAGTTTTATGATGTCTTTCAATATTTCCTTTTTTAGCAACGGAGACCGAAGTATTACATAACAAACACACATTTTTATCTTTAAATTCTGTAAAAAAGTATTGTTCTTCCCATTCCGCATGAAAATGGTATGTCTTTACCTTCTTACAACTGCTTGCCATAATATTATTTTTTGTTGTTCTCTACTAACCCAACCGCTGGACGTTGGTTACGCGTTCAGTTTTAAACTAAGCGCAATGTTGCCGCGCCGTGCGTATTTATCCCGTTCAAAGCAATCCTGATCGTTCTCGAACACTAACGCGCTGGTCCGGCTGGTCGGTTCTAGCCGATTCTAGCTTGATGGCGTCAGCGGCAGATTGCTCACCGCAAGGTTGCCGCTGTTTATGTTTAATATTATGACAATTAGATTTTTTTGTGGAATTTTCGGAAGCTTCTCTGATTTTTGCAGTTTGTATTTTTTAAATTAAAATCGTTGTGAGAGCTACCAGAATTGCCTCCGCGAGCTACCGGTAGCTCGAGATCGACAGGTTGGCGACCACTGCTTTACAGTAAGGAAGATGGATTTTTGACATAAAGTAACTCAATAGCTTAAGGTATCCAAATCAAGTGACTCTTTAATTTTTAAATAAAATATTAAAAAAATACCCTGAAAGAACTCATAATCAAAAAATTAAAGTATAACATTACTCACCAGTCTTATGTTGTATTATATTTCTTTATAAAGGCGGCCAAAAAACTTGTTTTTTACGTGGCGTCAGCCATTTTCTGTTCACCTCACAACCGCCAGACCGTCATCATCCGCTTTTTCAAACTCAACAATGCAATACATCTGTAAAATACCAAATTCGGTTTAATATACTTTATTATTTTATCACATTCTATTTTTTACCATTTTCTAAAACATCTTATCAAATAAAGTACAATTTAAAATTGTACCACGTTCACGACTGTCACGAGAATCATGAAGATGGAGGAAACAAGAAACAACAATGACAATTGAAAGAAAATTTTTTAATTTAGTACTAGATTGTTATAAATAATTGTACCATATTTCATAAAAATGTACTAGAATCGGTTTCCTCTCTGGTTGCCTTAGGAATATTATTAATTGTTTAGGATTTATTAAGTCTTTACGGTACTTTTACTAGTTTAATTTATATTAGTTACACTGGACGATAGCGGACAATTTACTGAATTTCATTTCTAGCGTACCTGTCAGGGGGGATATCGCGCATGGTGTCATGGCGGCGGTGACGTCATGCGTAGAGTTAGTAGAGTTGGCGCGAAGCAAATATCATATGGCAGACGCACGTTTCAGTGGTTTGTAAGTCGTTTTTTGTGCTATATAACCTTTTAAGCAGATATTTATATTATATTATAAACTTTGCCCTTTGTGAGTGATATTGGTGAAGAACATTAAAAAGGTTACGCTATTTACGGATGTGACAGTAATAATCAAAGCAAAGGACTTAAAAGAGACCTTGTTTTTTGCTTTCCTCGACAGTAAGAGGTTAGTCAGAAGTGAGCAGTGACCCAAGAGCAGCTCCAGTGAGGCTCCCAGGGGGCCATGTCCCGTTTTTGCACTATAAAAATCTATGTGACTTACATTAAAAAAAAAATAATAAAAGGGAATTGTTATAGGCAATGCTACCTCCCCTCGAAAATTTCACCTGGAGTCGCCGTTTCAGTGGACTGTGACCATGCAGATAAATTTAAAACAGAAAAATATCATGTCTTCCATTCCAAGCACTTTTAACCTTTTAGTTATAAAATGGACCTCAAAGCAGAACTTCACGTTGATTCATTCGCAACTTGGGACTTCTTAACTGAGGACTGTACCCTTTTAAAGGCTGAAAATGTCGTAATATACAGCAAAAATGAAATTGTATATGTTGCAAAAAAAGAAAATTTTGAAATAATGTTCCAAAA